ACAATTGGAAATCCACACGAAATTTTCTGTCATTTCAGGATACAGTGACCATAGTATTGTTTGCTTGTTAGGGAAGACTTAGTGGATTCCTGTATATGCTTAGCGTAGCTCTTCCGATTACCATATGTCCAGGCTTGCGAATATATTTCCCAAACCCATTCAACCAGTCAGAATGGAGGTCCATCTCGAAACAACTGGGTTAAATGTAATGCTTATTAAATGACATAACCCGTACAGTCTGATTAAGAGATGAAGGCCTTTATTTGATGTTACTGTTTATAATCATAATATGCTAGTAGCATATTGCTTGGCGTGTCTTTCATTAAATTGATTTACCTGTACTGTTGAGCCATTAATTAAAATTAGCTAAAGATTAGCTGGAAGTTAGAAGAAGAAAGGGTGTTTAAGGGCGAGATTATCGTCTTCAATGCACTATGGCTGTCTCATTGAAGCGCCTGTTTACCTGCCGAAATAGTCTTGTAGAGCAGCAACCAAAACATTAAACTTACTAACTGCAGAGCTTGCAGAAACTTCTACACTAACAGACAGGAACTCTGCAACTAAGAGGTTTATGCACCTTGTGGTCATAGTCACATTCCACAAAGAAATAGAAATAAAAATTAAAATTGGCAAAGACCATTGAAAATAACCGAAGCTTACACACACACACAAAAAGGTTTTAACGATGCATAAATTTTACCCCCCCCCCCCCCCCGACCCCACGTTTACCCCTGCAGTCCAAGACCTTACAATTTTATTCCTGAAAAATTTTAGTGAACCAGAGAGCACCTTCTTCCCATCCCTTTCCCATTCCTACGCTATGGAGACAATTGCCAAGAGATCTTAGTGGCACATGTAACTAGATATTGAAATATCTCAGTCAATAAATGTCATAGCTTTTAAAAAAAATTATTCCATTTTTTCGTTACTAAGTACATGAATTAATATATTTTATTACCCTCTTAAAAAAGACTCTCTGTGGCTAAGTCGATGCGAACGCTTCGTTATGCCGGGGTTGCCGGGTTCTATCCTAGCTGCGGCCATGCGCCTTGCATTGGTTTCGATAGTGGTATCAAGAAAAGCCGACCGTCCAGGAGGAATGGCAAACAACTGGACGTAAATTTGCCTAAAAAAACCACACAACAGCCAGGGGCTGTTCGGGTTGGTTCTGCAACCTCCTGTTAAAAGATACGCAACTAACCTTTAACCTTAAACATGACTAGGCCCTGTGAGGTCGTGTCTAAGAAAATGTGTAAGGTGGATTAAAAAAAAACGAGGATCCCCTTCAGTCCTCATCTACCCCAATCCAATGTATGCCCGTCTCCCTGCACAGTGACGTCATTAGAAATAAAACTGTTGACGAACATTGCTGCAGTAGCTTAGCCAGACTTATTGGGCAGAAACTACTATAGGCTGTTTCACACACTTGTGGACTGACAATTCGACCACATAGTGGGAAAATACAACAGAAGGATATTCTGTGTGATTATAGTTCTATCGCCTCACTGAAGTGACAACTGATGCGTGAAAACGCCTATATAAACGAAATGGGGTAATTACGGATCAATTTAAGGTTCTATTGGCCTCTCAAACCAGATCAAATGATCTGGGCCTCCTGATCAAATGCTGCAAACCATTCAACATGACAGGCTCTACATCTGGAATTCTATAATAGAACAGAGGGCACAGCAGAAAAGGATGGACAACAAAGCACGCTCTACAGTGACACATAATGACAGCAGACAGGTCTCTGATTGACCGCTGGACTAACAACTGTGCAGCTCATCTGTTTTGGGGATGGGTAATCGACACTTTCTTCTCATGCGCCTGCACCTAAGCCTGCTCCTCCTCTGCTTCTTCTTCTTCTTTTACTTTTTCTTTTCTTCTTCTTCTTCTTCTTCTTCTTCTTCTTCTTCTTCTTCTTCTTCTTCTTCTTCTTCTTCTTCTTCTTCTTCTTCGTCTTCTTTCTTTCTTCTTCTTCTTCTTCTTCTTCTTCTTCTTTCTTCTTTTTTCTTCTTCTTCTTTTTTTTTCTTTTTTTTTTCTTCTTTCTTCTTCTTCTTCTTCTTCTTTTTTCTTCTTCGTCTTCGTCTTCTTCTTCTTCTTCTTCTTCTTCTTCTTCTTCTTCTTCTTCTTCTTTTCTTCTTTTCTCTTCTTCTTCTTCTTCTTCTTCTTTTCTTCTTCTTCTTCCTCTGCTTCTGCTTCTGCTTCTTCTTCTGTTTCTTTTCTTCTTCTTCTTTTTTCTTCTTCTTCTTCTTCTTCTTCTTCTTCTTCTTCTTCTTCTTCTTCTTCTTCTTCTTCTTCTTCTTCTTCTTCTTCTTCTTCTTCTTCTTCTTCTTCTTCTTTCTTCTTCTTCTTCTTATTCTTCTTCTTCTTCTTTCTTCTTCTTCTTCTTCTTCTTCTTCTTCTTCTTCTTCTTCTTCTTCTCTTCTTCTTCTTCTTCTTCTTTTTCTTCTTCATCTTCTTCTTCTTCTTCTTCTGCTTTTGCTTCTTCTCCTCCCTGCTTCCTTCTTCTTCTTCCTTCTTCCTTATTTCTTTCTTCCTCTTCTTCTTCTTCTTCTTCTTCTTTTCTTCTCTTCTTCTTCTTCTTCTTCTTCTTTTCTTCTTCTTCTTCTTCTTCTTCTCTTCTTCTTCTTCTTCTTCTTCTTCTTCTTCTTCAATATGTATGCAAACTCCGGTGGATAGTTTTGGTTGTTCCTCTACTAATGGACTTTGGTCTTGGTCCAGATCTTAAGTTTTGGGTGCATATTTTGATTTACAGATCTGGTTCATTTGTATGCAGACTGTTGGTTAGTCTCCTCTAAGGTAGATTCACTCAGAGCGCCAAGGAAATTCCCCTAATTAGTTGCCGCTTACGACAAGGCTATCAGGGAGCAGTGGTCCTATTCATTTTCTCGATTAAAACAGGGCACCGCAACCTATATGGAGAGATAATTATTTCTTTTCTAACAGTTTCTGCATTACATCGACAGTAGTCACGTTTGTCAACATCGTTCATTTTTCATGTATTCTGATTGCGCTGAGAAGCAGGTCCTTAACCCTACCCCGAAGATATCCCACAGGATAGCGGAGAAAAGGAGGCACTTTTACCTCTCTTTTTGGCAACTTACTTCCCAGGCTGCCCCTTGTCTTTTAGTAAGAAAACTTGAAGGACAAGGGACGTGACATTTATCACGTAGAACGTCGGCAAGACAGACATATAATGAAATTACGAATTGTTCTTCGGAATGGGAACTTTAAACTGACTGCTGAAGACGGGTAGCCGGCACTTATGGAATCACTCAAAACGTCCGCAAGACGGACATATAATCACATTACTAATTATTCCTTCGGCACTGGAACTTCGCTCATGCCGCTGAAGACGGGTAGCGGGAGGTTATGTGCTGTGATGTCGGTTTTTTTTTTACTGTACTCAGTTCAACACTATCAAAGTAGAAGACCCCTTTGAAATGAAACTGATATACCGGGCTATTGTGCTACACAGTTATTACTTTAGATCACCTGGCAAAATATGGGCGATGTCGTCAGTATCATTCCCTCCGCATATACTTTTCAATACGTTCCTGGTATAAACTTCAGGCTGGGTCACCCTAACAGCTTCAGATCAATATTAGAAATTCATAGATTTGAACCCACTACCTTCTGGTCGTCATGTAAGATCTAACCACTATGCCAGCCAAGTGAGTTATTTTGCATACGCGACAGGTTAGGTTTCCTGGTGTGGTCGTCGTAGTCGAGGTTTCAACTTCACTGCAGTCCGGTCACGCCATACTTGATCCTAGTGAAAATCCAATGAAATGTCCCTGACTGTTGAACAAGCAATTTTCCCAGAGTATGCGCACCCAGTAAGAGCATATGGCAGTGGCTAGAGGCGCCAAAGCCAACAGTCGCCACAAGAAATGCCGTTTGTCGTTGATAGAAGTAGTCGGTCGCTAAAAGCTTGCCAACTATTGGATCAACACAACACCAGTAACTTTACTTACGTGTCTTCTAACAAAGACATAGAAGATAAGGAACTGCTGGCAATAGGTGACAGATTTTAGACAAGACACACGGACCAGAAGAGTGGATGCACGTGCAGCCACAGGTCATTAAGATCAAAGTAACCGCACGCTGAATAATTTTTCGATCCCCATAATATGTTGTGATAGAATCTGGAGTAATACAGAGAATTTGAATTGCTGCGTCTAGTTATAAAACTAAACAGCAATTAACAATAAAAATAGATAAACCGCAACATAAAAAGTGTATGAAAATATTAGAAAATATAGATACTATAAGCAAAAATGGAGTTCTCGGCAAAGCAAAATAGAATAATATCTACAATTTTTCAGGTGACCGACTGACTGACCCGACTTTCTACCCCACCAGGACATCACACAAGCGATAAACACCCGATGACACAAAGTGCCACCATGCGGATGAGGATCACCGTGGAGAGGTCCCAGAAACCGCGTTCAGACAATTGGCCATATTGATGGCCTGCCTATATTGCGGCCCCTGGCAAAAGCCAGAGTGGGGCTTCAAATAACAAAAAATTACGTCCTAACAAGGACGTAAGGACGTCCTAACAAGGACGTAAGGGATACATGTATTCAGGTGACCAGACCTTGAAGAGCAGTCACGGGTATGACCTTTATTACATCCATGAATCGAGAATATAAAACGAATAATGAGAAAAAAAAAATAACATACAAAAGAAGTAGCGTCAAAAATAATAAACAATCAGAAGTTAAATATATTAAGCAAAGTTCCTTGGTTTTAAATATGCAGAAGTTTAAATAAATATCTTGGAACAAAATATCGGAAGACTGAATATATCAGATTTAACATCTGATGCAGTAACTCAAACCAACTATTAGGACAACTAGCATCATTTCTGTAACACATGACACTGCTGATCAACACACATACACACACCCACATACACACCCCCACATACACCCCCCACACACACACACAAACATAAAAGCATATACAATGCTCGGAACATAAAACTTACTTTAGTTTCATAAATGGCAGAACGGCGTCCTCTTCGTGCAACAGGTGGGTCCGGTTCGTTATTCTCACTTTCAGCGTCGCTGGTGATAGAACCTGAACTCAGTCTCCTTGGTTGCTGTGAGAAGAAAAATATTAACAACATTTAACTTATTTAGTCGTAGTAAATATCATGTGATGTGTTTTTGGCTATCTCCGCTTTACGTCTTCTAGTCGTAAATATCATGTGATGTGTTTTTGGCTATCTCCGCTTTACGTCTTCTAGTCGTAAATATCATGTGATGTGTTTTTGGCTATCTCCGCTATACGTGTTCTAGTTGTAAATATCATGTGATGTGTGTTTGACTCTGTCCGCTATAAGTGTTCTCCAATACTTCTTTTGGGCATTGTGCTCTCGGACTCATTATACACTGTCGGGTTATTATTCATCCATGTCTTGATATATCCACTTACCCGTATCGTTGTTGACTTTCTGCTTGCCTCTCTTTTGCCTTCCTAACCAGTATGACTTTTACACACAGTGTTGAATGATACTTCTTTTCACCTAGTCGAGATATTTCCTGTGTCCCTTAAGCGATTATTTAAAAAATCTCTCATTTCAGATGAGAAAAAAGCCTCGGTATTTTATTGATTTTGTTTCCACAAATTAGAGACGCAATATTTTTCAGCACATCCAATTCGCCGAGGATTCAGTTCGACTTTCTCATTTCTTCTCAAGTGCCCAGGTTTCTGCGCAATATTATTAGGGATGAGTATACCTAAGATAGTTGTTAGCTTTTTCAATATCCATCAGGGGCACCCCTGGTTTTTTAAACAGCACTCCCCATTCAGAATTATTTGGCCAGGTTTGTTGCAGCTGAAACTTCATGATTAAACAGGAACCCCGTAATCGCTCCCTTTCCCTGGCAGCTAAAAACCTTTACAGACTGACGATCTATGTCCCTTGAGACACCCCCCCCCCCCCCCCAAAAAAAAAAAATGAAACAAAAAATTACAATCTCTACAAAGCCAATAGCATACACACGCATTAAATGCACAAGGCAGTCGTTAGATGTGACAGGACACAGTCAGACATTGCAAATTCAGTTAATCGAAGGTGGAAATAGCAGTTACAACAAATTTGCAAATGCACACGCAATACTGAATAAAAGGCACCATATTTATGTGGCAGAAGACCCTCGCCATATTCTGAATCTACAGTTTACAATAAAGACGAGGATGGGCAGAGTCAAATTGAAGTCAACAGCTCATAGTGTCACACCATGCCCACAACTCAGTAGCCGAGTGACGACAATCTATAAATTTCGTGCCTATTTTGGAGGAGAATTTGAAAATAAAAAAAATAAACATAGTGCCAGAAGCAATCAGCAGCAATAGCAGAATATTAGGAAATAATGACAATAAGAAGAACACAAAGGATTTGAAAGAAAAAGAGGGCGACGAAAGCGAGCAGGAGGAGGGGGAAAAGGAATCTAAGCTGCCAGTTTTAAAAAAAATACAGTCGTCATGTAGTGTATAGGCTACGACTACAAATAAATATCTGTGATTAAAAACAAACTGCTGCGATAAAAAACAAACCGCTAGAATTAAAAACAAAAATCTAGGATTAAAAACATTCAACTTCCCGGTGTGGTTTCCAGGGCCCTATTATAGGGAAAACAAGAAGAGACCCACTACCTACCCAAAAGCGTGTCGTAAGAGTCGACTAGCTTACAGCTTCCTTCGAAGTCGAAGGGCATCTGCCTGAGAGGCAAAGAACCAGCAGTCTGCATACACACGAGTCTTGTAAAACGTATGTACTCGCAAAACTCAGGTTCTGGAACAGGACTGCAGTCCAGAAGTGGATAAACAAGCAAAACTTTCCACCAGGGTTTACAGCTGGTGAACGCAAAGAAGAAGAAATACAACTAAGATTAAAACCAAACAGGTAGGAATAACAACAACACGGATTAAAATAAAACATTAAAAATAGGGTTAAAAACAAATGGCAACACATCAACATCCTATAAAAACTGAGGATTACACAAATCTGTGACATGTTAGAAAATGGCGAGTGGGCTGATGTCAAAGAACTGGTGGTGCTTTATGCGATATTGCGTGTGCAACTGCCGATTTGTAGTACTTACTGCTTCCATCAAGATAAACCGCAATAATACAGCGAACTGCTAGTGTTGGTACTTTGATGACTGTATTGTATTCCTAATAAGTGTGCACGCTACTGGCTTTGCTGACACTAACGTCTATTTTAATTTGTTCAAAATGAGAAATGATAAGTATTCTGTGTGATTTTGGCTTGGCATAGTAAAAAAGCAACTATGGAGTGAGCTGTTTTGGGTGGGAGGGTGGAATTGGAACTGTTATTACAGGATTACCTGATTACCCGCCCATGTGCCAGACGGATATCCCCATTTTTCCCACCTTCCCATCTTATACCGACAATATTAGCAGCAGAACGAGTCCTTTGCAAATAACACGAAATCTCTGAAGGGAAACGTGAACTATGGGACTTAAACATTGGACTGATGACCCATGTCAGACAGATCTACAAGTCTGTAGGTTCAGGATGGTCTGTTTGCGTGTAGGTTCGTCAGCCCTTTACGTGGTCACAAATTCAATAACCTTGAACGGGATTTAGCGTCATTAAAATCATTTTCCGAACAAATACACAAATAAGGCAAGAATCCAGGCAAGAGTATGTGTCTAATTTTATACGAAAACGCCGCTGGAACTATGTCGGCCACGCCCTTTGAATGGATAAATCAAGACTTCCTTACCAAGCCCTCATTTGGACACCACAGGGGAAAAGATCTCGTGGAAGACCAAGGGAAACCCTACGTAGAACTATCATCAGGGAAGGCTCGCTCAAGGGCCACTCAAACATCCAAGACCTGCAACGGATTGCAACGAACCGCCATGCATGGAGAGTAATGACCTCTACCCTATGTGCCGCACTCGACACAAGAGGAAAGACTAACTAACTAACTAACTAAGACAGTCGTTAGTTTGACGTGCTCAATCATAGTACTTTTGTTGTGTATTAAAGTAACTCTTTGCTAGCAAACTCTGCTTATTTTGCCATGCTTTTGACCGACGTTTAACGCACTATCCTCATCACCACCTTCACCACCGCGACCACAACACTACCAGCTTCATCATCATCATCATCATCTTTACTACCACCACGACCGTCAATCTACCGTCATCATCAGCATCATCCTCAACTCCACCACGAACACCACGCCACCATTATCATCAGCATCCTCAGCTCCACCACCAGCACCACCACAACACTACCATAATCATCTTCCTCACCATCAACACCACCATCACATTATCATCATCATCCTCATCATCATCACCACCTACACAACACTGCTATAATCATCATCGTCACCATCAACACCACCATCACATTACCAACATCATCATCCTCATCATCATCACCACCATCACATTACTAACATTATCATCCCCACCATCAACACCACCGTCACATTATCATCATCATCCTCATCATCATCACCACCTACACAACACTGCTATAATCATCCTCATCACCATCATCACCACCTACACAACACTGCTATAATGATCATCGTCACCATCAACACCACCATCACATTACCAACATCATCATTCTCATCATCATCACCACCACGACCAGCATACTAACATCATCATTATATATTAGGCTTCTCTAATAAAACCTCACAACTACTCAGGTTTTATTTCATTACTGATTGATCAACATCCATAACAGAATTACAGTACATATAACATATTGTAACACTGACGTGTGTACTTATCATACGTCTATTACGAAATGATTTTGCTCATTCTCCTAAACATATTTTTGAGAAACAGAAGGTCAAATGCTTTGGTCATCTTGTAAAAATGCAGCCAAAACAGCTACCAACACAGGTGCTTCACATCATAAGATCTTAAATGAAAGCAAGAGGCCGCCCTCGTAGTATATGGACTGATAACACTGAAGAGCTTCTATATCGTCATGGAATGTAAATAGCCATTGCTGCTCATTAAGCAATGGATCGCGAACTCTTCCTCCCCACACCGCTCTACGGCAGAAGTGAAAAGTAATGATGATGATGATAATGAATGAATCAGTCAAGAAATGACATTACTGCACTAGGGACATTCTTATAGCAATTCCGCCTACTTCCTCCGTAGCCAACAAAGGGTCGATATGCTAACACTGCCAGCTGCAACCAGATTAGAAGTCTCCCCCCTCAATATTGTACATCTTTAGGGACCTGTGCTTCCCATTGAACTAGTCTTTAAATGTATGGATTCTCTGTCAGTTCTAATGCACGGTCCATTTAATTCCATACAGCGCTTCTATCACATCTGCTATATCATCGTAAAGTAGCTCACGCCCACGTCAGCGACCAGACCGAAAATCTGTTTTCCGTACTTTTTGGCAAAGTAAAATACTAAACATTTTAAAACTTTAAATGGTTGTCCAAAGGACGTTACGTTGAGAAGTTCGCTCTCCTTCGAAATGCGCCTGACCAAAATCAAAGGGAGCTGAAACCAAGGAGGACAAATCAGAAATGAAAGGACAAGAAGAACACAGTTGGAAACGGAAAGGAAATGAGCGGTCTGACATGGAAGAAAGATGCATTCAGCCCAGAGACGGCATAATTACAAGAACTTTACCACAAAAGTGGCGCAAACAAAACAAGGCCACAAATATAGTCGGAGACTGTTGGCAGCTTTGGATAGCTAGCCGCAGGTTGAATCTGGTTGGGTTTTTGATATTTTCTTTCTTAAACAAAATAGGAACGAATTGAATAGGAACAGTGACAACAGTCAATCTATTATTCTGTTCATTGCACCTTCAAATGTAGTGGACAGATAATAGACATGTCAAAAGCCTCATGTCCAGGCTTCAACTCTTTCAGTACTACGTGCCAGCCGGACAGTTTATTGGCCACTAAGGACATGTTGTAAATATTAGGCTTCTGTTGTCCTAAATGTCGGCACATTAACCAATAGAAAAAGAAAAGAAGATCCCTGCTGTTATTTTAACTCCTTCTTGCCCTTAGTTAATATGATAACACATTCCGACTCAAATGTATTTACATTAAAAATGATGTC